AGCTCTGTGCATGTATGTGTGCTCGAGTGTGTGTGACTCTGTCTGCAGGGTTTCTGTGCATGGAAGGAGTAGACAATTAGGTGTGCAGACCACTGCTGTTCTCTGTCAATGGAGAATGAGTGTGAATTTATTATAGGGTGTTCAGGTGAGCTAAACATCCCCTTCTGACTTATGTGCATGCTTGTGCATTGTGGGGGAAGGGGTCAGTCCCACTGTAGTAAAACATCAACAGCACATCTGCAGCAATATCTTGAGACATACACGAAATCTCATATCTGATTTTGTTTATCTATCCCTTATTAAGGTCTTTTTGTGTGGCCTCCTACATTCATGCATAAGAGCTTTTAGAAAAGTTATGTCATGACCCCACCACTATTTAGAAACTCTGCAACAAAGAAAAGGCTTGTCAAACACTGCAATTATCCTGTTTGAGGCGCTTTCAACAGTTGGAGATCTCCATGCTGATTAAAGAAGAAAACAAAATTAACTTAGCACAACACAAAAGCTGCTTTAAATCCTGTCTTCTTTGCATGATCTAAATAATGCAATCATTTGCTGCGTGTTCCTGTGTTGGTGTAGGTACATCAGGTCAACTGTGTTTCATTTTCTCCCCCCTAACAATCTCATCGGGGCCTTGACACTGTGCCATTACTAGAGAAAAACACTCAAACACACACATGAACGTGGGTCCATTAAATAGTCAAATGGGCTTCGAAAGGACTTTACTGTGGGGAATAAACCATTTACCCAGACACTGGCAGTCGAAGTGCATAACAGTGAAATACAAAGGTGGTTTTGTTGAGGCACGGGGTAATTGGTTGAAATGAAGAGTTTAATCCTTTGGTGTTCCTTTGCAGAAAATAATGATATCGCTAAAGAGGTGAATTTAAGTGCTGAAACGTATTACACTTCACCAGTGGGACCCCTTTAGGACAAAGCCATCACGCAAGAAGGAAATGTCCTTCTGCCTTAGTCATTTCTAAAACAACAAAGTATAACTACATTGTCTTACCTTTTCCTTCCACCCTGCATTCAAACCTCTAGTTCAGAACTACTGTTCATTCTTTAAACCTTCCTCAACTTACTCTACTTTATCCTATCCACATATCTTCCCTCTTTAATGCCTTTCTCTGGCACCTATCCCTGCTTTTAAAGAAGGACTCATGAATGAAGCTGCCACAAATTAGTCAGCTGAGAGAAAAATAAGCTACACCTATTGTAAGTGCTTAAGTCACTTTGAATGCAAAAGCTACGTTACACAACCACATATGGCTTCTATCATTTGTAATTCTAAATGTTTAGAAATATTAGTAAATGTTTCCGCTTTGGACTGATGGTCAAACACAACAAGGAGTTTAAAGATGTCAGTTAGGATTCGGCGAAGTTGTGTTGCGTCCACAACCAATAGACTCCGTGATTAATCGAGAAACTATTTTACAGATTGCAACCCTGCAAATTGAAAGGAGTGTACCAAAACCTAACCAACCATTTCTCTGAAAGTCTATTTGCATTCATGCGTGGTATGTGTGTGAGTGTGCTATGCACACATGTGCGCCACATGTCTTCCCCACAATAAAACAGCCCATTTAGCAAACAAGATATTGGGTGTTTTTATTGGTCTCATCAACCGGGATTCAGTTTGACGCTGAAGATAAGAACGGAAAAAACGATTCATTGAAAAAAAAGAAAAGAAAAGACAAAACAAACTCCCAGAAACTTGGCTGCATTTTTTTTCCACAGCTGTGCGTATCAAATCCTAGTATAGTTTTATAGAGATATATGAATCTAAACAAGGAGTAGTGACGTTTCAACATTCTCGCCTGGTGACATTATTGCAAGGTGAATTATGTCTTAAGTTGCAAGCAAAGATCTCAGGTAAACAGTGATGACGAATCTGTCTCCATCTCTGTTTAAGTGTTGTGTTTTCTCATTTTCAGCCTTTTCTCTTTCTTTTCAGTGTCTCTACCAAGCTTTCTCAGCAGGAGTGCAACAAAAACACTGGTTCTGTTTAACAAAAGGCCATCAAGGCCCCAAAGCTCGAGAACCAAAAGTGTGTTTTGAAAGCTATTATTCATATAACAATACAAAGTGCATTCCTAGACCAGAAAAACAAATCAGGCAAAGACTGAAGCTTTAAACAAACAAACACTAGATTTATACTCACTTTTGTCAGCATTCACTAACTCAGGGAAATTTATTTTTTCAGTCTGTCATGAAAATATAAAAGGATAAACAAAATCCTTCTTAAGGATTGGATTAAAGATTTAAGTGATGCTTAAAAGTCTGCAGAACTGATCACCCACCTTGTGATAAGGTAGCAGACCCACAGCAACGTAACTGAATTCAAACTGAGGGAGATATGCACAGCTGCAGTTGAATATAATCCGGCTCCTTGTGCAGAGATGAAAACCACAAAGTATGACTTAATTTACATTTACAATAAAACATCAAACTTCAGTACGTCAAGACTTGACAAAAGTACTAGTAGTTAATCCCTTACTTAAGAACTTAGCAGTAGTCAGTTTCTTTCTACAAAGTACAAAGTCACTACGTTATAAAATATTTAGCAAGAAAAACTGATCAAAAAGTGCCGATAATACTAATCTTTCACCTGTTGCTCATTCTAAAGATTTTGTTTTTACTTTATGCACAGGGTTATTCATTTGAACTTTTCCAGCTGGCTCAACTTTTTCTTGCTCTGATCAGTTTAAAGTGATTGATCTGAGCTGGGATAGACGGAACAGCAAGAAATTTCCACTGATGTTGTTTTGGCACCTGCTGCTTGCCATTTTGGCAATGCTTGCTTCACTGTAATGTTTTCCCCCCAAGAAATAAAGAAACTCTCACAGACAACTAAATGAATGTTCGTGTGTGATGATTTCCCTGGTAACCATGGTATTTGCATTCATGCATTTACAGTTAATAAATCCCAGTTCTGTTCCAGCTTTTTACTGGATGAAGAGGTCAGTCAGTGCCAGGATAATTTGGCTCTTTATATTTGCCATCCTTAAAAAAAAATTTGTAGCCTGGACATATTTAGCTTCATGTCAATTTAACAGCCTTGTAGAGACAACTTTACTTTTACAGCTTTTCTTTTCTTGTTCTTCACACATCTGCTGTCCATCTCTTCTCCACATCCACCTCTTTATTTGGAAAACGAATAACAACCAGTCTCCCATTCAAAATACACACATACAGACACCACATGCATTGTTGTATCGCCACACTGCTCTCATTCCTTTTGCTCTTTGACCCAGTGACAAAGCCAATCAAAATGTGTGGTCAAACAGGAAGAAAAGGAACGACGAATGGGCGATAACCTATAAACGCTAACAGAAACAAGGGACTAGACTGGTTCTTTCCATTATTCATGCAAACCCATTAAAGATGGACCACATGTTGACCCAGGGATGAAACATTTTGAACACAGACTACGTCAATCAAAGTGCCAGTTAATGTCAGCCATCAAACACAGAGAAACCCAGACACTCTGATTTTATTTCTCATTGTAAACGGTGTTTGGAGAAGGGACACAAATTGCTGTCAATCTCAAATAAACTGTCCCCAAAGATGTCCTCTAATCGCGCAGCTTTCATAATAAAATACGGCCACATGTTTTTTACCACTGATAAAATGAATGATACTCGATATCATCCAGCTGTGTGGTAGTTAATAGCTGAATGGTGTGTTTTAACATGCTCTCTAACAACAACAACTTGTGGTCCCATAAAAATGTCATATGCTGGAAGATCTCTTAACCTCGGGTGCAGTAACTTCTTGATTGCTTGCTGCTATGAGCGTTGGTTATACAAAACCAGTCTGACAGTATCCTGACTAATCTGTATGTAACTGTCAGGGAAATCAGTCAGTGAGAAACCTATCGTGGTGTTTTATCAGTTTGCTGAGAGATTGGAGGATATATTCTAAACAAATTTTAAGGCAAGGATAGAATGACAGCTACCGCTTCCTGCAAAATGATTTTGGTTTCAGCTTCAGTGGCTTCCATATCGTTGTCAGCAAAACTTTGCGACTTGCCCCAGGCCATCCATCTTAGCCAAGTGTTATTCTAAGACCTGTTTCTCTCATCATAAAATAGAACTAGATCGTGAATATCTGTTGCTCACACTGACACACATGCACACTCACTAGCCCACACTCTGTCCTTGAGAAGCGGAAAGCCTTATAATATTAGTGTGTGTGCTCTCCACCACTCAACCAAAAGTAAACATCTATGGTCTGTCGTCATTTGGACACAAATTAGAGGCTCACATAAAGTGAGGGGTGAAAAAAAGGAAAATGACCAAGAGAGGACAGAATGTAAAATCTGAATTGAGTGAGAGGGAGAGATGCAGAGGCACAAATAAACATGCAAACAAACAAACAAAAACAGATGAGCATTTCTCTCTTCACCCTTAATCCGAAAGTACAAGTGTAAAAGCCCTGAATATCTTACTGGGCTTAAATAAAAACACACATATGCCTACAAGTGCCGCCAAAAAACAGACAATTTGAACCACATGAGATCCACTATGATCTAGACGCACTGATACACACACACTACAACAGAAATTCTTGAGATAATTCAGCTCCGATGTACAGGATTCCACCAGACAGTGAGGAGTAAGCCTTGGGGGAAGAGGTGATGGGCCACATGTTGATGCTCTCCATGTGATTTTAGCTCTCCCGCTTCCCTTCAGGGGACAAGCGATCAGGCAGAACTAATGGCGTTGCTGTGTGTTAGAGGTAAGATTATCTCCTACGACAACAGTGAAAATCTGCCTGGATGCAGGATGTCTGGGGTTGAAAGGGGAAGCATGAACCTTAAATCTGATGCACAACTGGGTTGTTTGGGACTAACTGAAAGGGAGTGCACGGATCCTGTGTTGTCATGGTGATAAATGTATACCCACTCAGGTTCACACATTAAATCATTTCAAGGTGATGTGGCTAGGGTTTGGCTTAACAACTTCAGACACACAGAGCGTGAGGTCATGGCTTACTTCTGCAGAGTGAGGCTGAGGTTGCCAGTGCAGCTCTTGATTTTGTTCTGGGCCTCCAGGTGGTTCATGCCGTCCGTGGAGATGCCATCAATGGAAAGAACCATGTCTCCAACAGCAATACCACCTTTCGCTGCCTTTCCGCCATCCGTCAGCTGCAGAAACACAAAAACCACAAACAGCATGAATTGCTGGAAATATCGGGATTACTGAGCTGGCCGGTGGGTCAAGGTGATGTCGGATGTCCACATTCAGCCTGTGTTTATCAGAGGATTTATGGATCTCTTCTATTGCATGAGTATTTAGAGAAAAATAATGAAAGACCTAGGTTCTGCACCACATGATGGAGGGTCTACTTTAGGCTCACTGATGTGTTTTTAATAGCAGGAGCCTGCAGGATTAAATTACTTTTGTGTGTTCTTTATTGTGTGCTGTCTTAATGGCCTTGCAGCTTGTTAGAGAAAAGAGTTCAAAGGTTCTCAACCACAGTGTATCTGAGAAAAAGAAAGAATGAACATGGCTGTTTATCATTTAAAGATATTTATTCTTATTCATTTTTTAATGCCTGCTCTATACATTACAGTAGCTATGCGAGTTGGGAACATGCCACGAATTGATAATGCAAGAAGGTATTTACAGCTTAGAGCAAACAGAATCAGTGTAACACAAAGGTTTGTGGTATGATATTGTGATATCTGCCTCTTTGAGCAAAAAAGAAGCTAAATTTTACACTTTCTTAAGCACTACTGTGCAATAAAGATGAAGTAAAGTGAATTTAGTGTCAGTAAAAAGCAATAACGCAATTATCCCCCATGCAAAATGTTGTTAAAAAGGTGACAAACAGATAATGGGACGCTCCGTGGTGTAGACACATACCTTTTTTATGGGCTTTGAGGAAACAGTAATTATTAGCCAGACATTTCTCACTTTACACGCATCATAAAATTTACATACACGTTTCTTGTCTCCATGTTTCAGTGTATTCCTTCATCTTCAAGCTAAATATGTAAACAGTCTTTAATCACTCCGCTCTGGAGGAAGTTGGTTAATTTGAAACAGATTCAAGCAAAAAAACCAAAAAACCAATGATCTGGTACTGAATACCGGTTCTGCTGTTCAAATGGGCTTCAACATACACAGGTGCATATTTTGTAAACAAGCTAAGCATTTAGCATGCGAGTAAATGAGCTTAACGCCACATGAAAATATAATCAGATCATTTGGTTGAGCGTCTAATTATACATTCTTGATTTTTCATGGACTGCGCACAGAGCTGCCTGTTCCTTTCTGATACATTTCAAATTATGTGTTATGTGCTGTTATGTAAGAGAGTGTACATACTTTACTAGGAGGGACAGATTAACTTAAATGTGCTTTTACACACTCGTGGAAAATGAACAATCTAATATTTTTATTAGCAGTGAAATATTGAAATAATTTTTTCTATCTTTTCTGACCAAAACATTTTCTAAAAACGACCTTCTGAGCATGAAGGTACTTAAAAATATTCAATTCACAATCTACATAAAAATATTGATGAAATGTTTATTTCTAAGCAACTAAATTAAGCGACTAGCTTTTTGTAAGTTCTGTTGTTAATTATATGGGACTGAATAGTGTTAGCAACGCCTTGCAGATGTAGTTCTGTCCATTCTTGGTCACACAGAGGCTCTAAGTGTGTCCAAAGTGGAGTGAGGTCATTTGTTTCTTTTGACACCACACAGACCACTTCCCTAACAGCACACACAAAAAAGCATACTTTTGTAGAAGATTCTTAAAAACAAATGCGTCTCCTGCTCCCTGACTATAGATCACTTCAAGTATAGAAAGACAGTCAAGGATGGGACAGTGTAATATGGGGTTAACTGTGTTTCCTTTGCCTTTATCTTTGTCTCTCGCTCTCTCACAGACACACAAGCACACACAAATACAGACAGACACAAGCAGGGCTAATAAAAGAGGCTCTGCACCCGGATTAGCGTTAAGGCTCTGCGGCCCCAACCTTTTATAGTCATATTAGCTCAACACACGCAACATCACTCAGCACCGCTCACTAGCACAGAGGGCAGGAAGAAGAGCATAATGAGAGATTGACATAACGTTGATTAAACTGGTATGGATGGCGAGGAAGGGAGAAAAGAGAAGGAAAAGAAGAAAATGCCACCGAGTAGATATTATGCTGCATGTTTTGACCCATTTCCAGGGGTGTATTCCAGCTAACCACTCTGGCACTGTTATGGCCCAAATGCTCACCACAAAATGTGCTATTATATGTTTTCCCCAATTAGTGCTAAGGTCCTCCCCCCCTACCCACATAAATTCCCTCTCCACATACAGACACAAAACACAGCTCTGTTTCTTTCAGAGTAAAAGTAACCTGTTTCCATACAACCGCCTTGAATTGATTTTAAAGCTACTCCATAAACAGTAAAGATTTTTGTGAAGATTATTTATTTTGCTTGTATGAATTTATCGTGTATGTCTTAAATCCACATGTCTGAAGCAATTATTCGTACTGGTAAGAAATCCTTTTGCAAAGGCAAACATTTGTTCGAAATTAATACGAAGAAAATCTTTCAAAGCTCAAAGTCGTCTCAATGTTTATATCAAAGAAAGTGAAACGCATCCAAGAAAATCAGACACAGAAATCCAAATAATCTATCTATGCAACAAGTCAAGTACTTGGAGACTGCCAGGTTATTTGATTTATGGCTCTGTTGCTTTGGTCATGACAGAAAACAGCAGCTGTAACACTTCAGATCTAACACAAATATGACACACACATGCATTACACCAATGTCAAACGCAAACGGAACAATACTTCAGTTGACAGGGAATGCTGAAAACTTGAAATGTGTTTTCTATAATCTTTTCTATGAGAAACCAGTACAAAAGCCTTATCCACCATAAAAACTGCAAAACAGCTGGCAACAGCAGTGCCAGTGACTTTTCTTTTCTGTTTGGCCCAAAGATTGAGCCACTGATGTCAGCGGCTATGGGAGAGGCTGTTACAGAACTGTAAAAGTTCTCTAACACTTACCTGTATTTTATATTATTTCTAAACATATTTGCTTTTTAACTCCATGTCTACATATTTAGGGTGGTGTGGAAACCCTCGTAGTTCAAGTGGCAAAAAGAATTTGCCTTTAAGTGGGGTTTTTTTCTTCAACAAATCAACAGACACTATTGTGCAAAAGTCACCCCTCATTACTTGTTGCTTCCAAGGAGCCAGACTTTCTTGTATTTTTAAAAAAAAATTGGTCTTGAGCAATAGTTCTCCAGACTTATTTAAGGTCTTAAGGTTTTTCTTTGGACGTTGGCTAATTTTTTCACTCAATTTCAGCCCTACCTTGTTCCTGTTTTTCAGAGGGTTTTTTTCTTTAGCTTTGTTAGATTTAACACTGACCTATGAATCATTCAAGCATTCAGGGACCAACTCAAGGAATGAACCAGTCTTGTGTCTACTCATAATAGACAACTTAGGAAACAACCACTTTTAAATGATATCTTCAGGAAATTTGTTAATCGCAGCCTGTTTTAAAAACACACAATTTGTTGGAATTTCTTTATTTGAATCTATGGAAAAATGTCAAGACAACACAGACAGATATAAAACAACTATTAGCACAAAACTTCAAACTTCCATGTGTTTCTTGGCATGGTGTGCAGTCTGTCCTTAAAAAAACTGAAGAAACTGTGGTGGTGGACAAGTGGAGAACAAAAGAATTGACAGGTCTAAAAACAGCCATCTACAAGAGATAAAGAGTACCGTATTATTCAGACTGTAAGGCGCGCCGGATTGAAAGATTTGAGAATTTGAGAAAATTAAAGGATTTTAAGTGCGCCCTATAGTCAGAGAAATACGGTGTGTGAAAAAAATATGGAAAATGCAGCAATGACCTGACAGGACCTGAGAGATGTGTCTGCATGAAACCATCATCAGTGAAAACACACAATGGAACACTGTCAGTGATGGATCAAGGTGACTGTTGTCTTGGTTTGGCACTATATAAATACAACTGAACTGAATTGGACTGGCCTCCCCAGAGCCCAACCTGAACAATAATGAAGCAGTGTGGGGTCATCTTGATAGAGAAAGTAACAAAAGGCAGCCAATAGTTATTTGAATGTCCTTCAATAACACTGGAAAACTATGAGTAAAATCAGAAGCGCCTTTAGCTTCCAGGCCACCTTCTGTGGAAGCAGCTGCCAATTCAGGACACAGACACACTCTCTACTTTCAAGATTAGGCTTAAAACTTTCCTTTTTGATAAAGCATATAGCTAGGGCTGGATCAGGTGGCCTACACTGCTGGGATCCTCTCATAATGAGTGTTTGCTTCTTCACTCATCTTTTTTCACTCATGTATTCATACATCACTTTACATTTAATTAGTTATTATTCATTTCTGGCTCCCTTCCACAGTGTACCTTTGTCCTGTCTTCTTCTCCTCACCCCCAACCAGTCACAGCAGTTAGCAGCCCCTCCTTGAGCCTGGTTCTGCCAGAGGTTTCTTCCTTTTAAAAGGGAGCTTTTCCTTCCCACTGTCGCTAAAGTGCTTATTTGTAGGGCTCATCTGACTGTTGGGTTTTCTCTGTTAAACATTGTTATTTTTGAACATGATTCAATAAGCTGCTGTTGTTATTTTCCTAGCAAAATATAAAGAAATGAGAAGCAGCTCAAGACTTTGCACTCTGTGTGTGAAATCCAGCTGCCTTACTAAATATTCATGCAAAAGTAAAGGGGTCAGTACTTGTGTCATCACTGTTCCAAAACAATGAGAAACACACATGCCGTGTCTAAAAGCCATCTCCTACGAACTTGCTCTTATGCTTCCAGCGATGTCAGGTTTCAACACATATGCTGTCTGATTTAAGTGCTTAAAAAAATCTGGTTTCAACACATAGCAATAAGAGCTTACTGGAGTGCCGCAACATTGTCTGCTTTGAGCACACACTGAACATTTTGAGTGCTTTGAACAATGCCTGCTTTCAGCACAAGTAGTGACAAAGATGACAGGCAGATGGTTCACATCGCACTCTCTGAGAGCTTGAGACACAAATACTCTGTAACTCGAACATACACAAAGCTGCTTCCATATGGAAGCCTTCAGTACTGACCTATTTTCCTTCAATTTTGCTGTTTCAGTACTGGA